TAGCCACGTTGATGTCCAAATCCTCGTAATTTACGTGATTGAAAGCACCTTGAAAGTTTTCGCTCGCATCACTAAGCATCTCCAGTTCGCAAGGCTTATCGCCTAGACAGTTCATGCGAATGGAGCGCATAACTTGGTACATGGACTTGCGCGATGGTTTGTTCTCGTGGAAAAGATCGCCTGCCAGGAGCACCATGTCTACATCTTGCTCCTTGGCCAGACACATCACCTCATGAAAGCTTTTCCAGCTGTCATCGCCACGGATGGGATCCCGTTCATTGTATCCGACATGGTTGTCTGTTGAGACGAGAATGCGGATCGTTTCCGAGTCTGGAACCATCAGCAACGGGCAGTCAGCGGAGGAGAGGAATGATACTTACCATCTAATCTGGGCATCGTGAAGTGAGCAAACACACATGAAATTCAGAGTGATAGAAGAAGAGTGGACGATATTGAACAAAAGCAATTTGTGAAAAGACAAATGAAGAATCCCAAAAGAGTAATATTACAGGCGACTACTATGTAGCCTGCAGGCTACCGTAGAGGAATGCTGCCTGGAAACACAAATAATTCAACGACCGTCAAAACTGAGCTACCTGCATTCCGAGAAGCAACGGCACATCAGTTAGAAGTGAGGGAGCGCCACTTGATCAAATGGCGATGTATACTACTTACTGCATGGATGGCGACGAAATGCCGGGAAATGAAGCCATTCGCGGGACGGCGCGTAATCACGTGCCCGGCACGCGCGCGGAAGACGAGCGCTGATTGATTCCTCGCCCGGGAGGCAACACTAAGCAAGATTCCCCTCCGTTGATTCTCGTCGGATCGCCGGACTGTCTTCGTCCTCCTTTGCCTGTGACTCTCTTGTTTCTCCCCTCCCCTCTCTGTCCTCCCCTTTTGTCCCTTCTCGTCTCGTCTCGTCCTACCTTCCATCGCATCGTATCGCGCCACACGTTCTCGCCGTCTTTCTGTCTGTCGCCTGTCCTTTTCTGTCCGACTGATCCAGATATCGTCCCTGGTTCAGTCGCCTCCAACATCCCAATTACCCCGCGAAACTCTTTTATGCAATCCGAGCCTACTGCAGTTTTCGACCGTTCGCTTTCGGTAGACCCCTCTTTAGACGTGCCCTTCAATTCTACTCAGCATGGAAATGATTCGCATGGTGAACACCCAGTCTCTGGGCTTCGCCATCAGAAGTCTGGGGACTCCAGTGTCGGTCATGACTCATGCGATGGCAGCCAACAGACGCCCTTGAAGGGGACTGACCCTGCGCCGTTTAACGACACTGTCAGTCAGTATGAGCATGCCGTCGCTCCGTTGATTAAGAAAGAGGAGGGAGTGAAATCCAGGAAGAAGCAGCCCTCCAACTACTCGGGCTTGTCCTTGGAAGCCTTCCCCAATGGTATGTCATCCCTTTATCTCGGGCTCTGAACGTCATGTTAATGATCTTCCGACAGAGGTTTTGACGCACATCCTGTCGCATCTGCCTCCCCCTTCTCTGTCCTCGATGGCCCTTGTGTCTCGCCATTTCCATGGTCTTGTCACGACACCTCACGCATGGAGAATTGCTTTTTCTCGCTACTTTCCCGGCCCCTACACTGTCGAGGATGGCGCATGGCTTTCCGCAGCGAAGTCGTCGGAAACGGTGACGTCTGATAAGCGGTATTTCTCGAGGCTGACTGCGCTGGCATCCTGGAGGAGTGAATATATCATGAGAACCCGCTTGCTCCGATCGCTCTCCAGAGGCAAGCCGGCGCAGTTTGAACCGTCCAAGAAAACCGGTACGGTGCGAGCGGCTAGCGTCCGGAATGGCAGCGCCGTAGCCACCTATACCTCACAGCTTCTGTACCCTGTCAGCCACTTGCACGGCTCCTTCGGGTCGGAAGTCAAGAAGAAGGAACCTCTCTTCATCCATGGCGCTTCGGAGCAAGGCTTCGCGTCGGCTAGCGATCCCTCAACGGTGAAAGTCGGTACATGGGGCCTGTCTGACCACCAGTTCTTCCGACACTTTGCAGACCTATTTCCCGGAGATGCAGAGTATGGACTAGGCTCTGGTGATCATGTTGGAGCTCCTAACCGCATGGATGTTAGTCAGCCCTATGGTATGATCTACGGCGAAGCATGTCCTCAAGGCCGTACATACTTCATCTCGACCACGGAGCAACGCGGGAGGTTCTTGGGCATCGCGGATTCCAGTTCGCAGCCTAGTCTAGGAATCCCCGCGCTCAACTTGATTGCGACCGGTGTTACTGCGGTGTGGATTGCTAAATCTTCCAACATCCTTAAGATGACTGGCGGTCTGGTCGCGATGCTGTCAGGCTCCTCTACCGGAGTGCTCACATCCTACGCCCTTGGTCCTCATCCTACCTATGAAAAAAGGTACGAGAGGGGCCAAGTGACTGCTAGATGGGTGCTGTGTCCTGGTGTCCCTATCATTTCTATTTCGGTTGACGATAGCTACTCTCCGAAACGTCATTCCCGTCGCCGGATCTGGGCGACCGTCCTGAACGCCCTGGGTGAGGTCTTCTACCTCTCTGACCTCCCGCGACAGCCTGATGTGCCTACCACAAAGCTATCTCCTGAGGAATATGAGCAGCTTGCTTGGAAGACGGGCAGAAGTGTTCGTTGGGAGCTTGTTGAGTTAAGCAGACGCATTGCACGGCTTGATCCATTCAGTCGTGATTCGGTCGATGGCAGCTATAGCCCTCGGTCGTCGTCGGATGCCATGAAGCTCAACGAAGAACAGGTAGCTGCAGAGACAAAGGAGATTGAGCGCTTCCTGTCCTTCAAGCCCAAGCATTTCCGGAAGGTATGCGAGGGATGGGATATGAGACGTGAATTGAAGGTCGATTTCGCTGGAGACGATGGTCACGGAGCCGGCGAATCGTTCCTGGTGATCAACCAGGGTGTGGGAGATGACGAGAAAGCTTCGATCCGCAGATACAAGAGAAAGATGACTAGACATAATGCATCGTTGTCTATTCATGGATCTCACAACGTGGAGAACGTGCCTGTACCGTCCATCTTTGGTGGTCCTGTCAAGTCTCCCATTCTCTCTTCTGTGAGCAGCTCAAGCAGTACGGCTCCATCTCGCGCTTCCAGTGGCTTGAGTGAGACGGTCTGCTCCATTTCAAACACCGAATGGCGCATTACGGATTTCGATTTTGGTGACAGAAAATCAGTCCAGATCACTACGAGTGCTCTGGACCTCTCGACCTATGCTCTGTTGACAACCGATGAAGATCCTCTCATCGGTATGTCAGGCAGCTCCGCACTCTCCTCCGCCACGTCTTCGCCTGTTCCGCACATGAAGCAATCGCCTGGCAATGTAGAAGTGCCGGGTCAGCGAGGACGCTACTTGGCTGTGGGTACAGCGGCGGGAACGATCTTTGTATGGGACATCCGGTCGCCTACGTCGAAGAATGCTGAAGTCATCAATCACGTTTCCCCTATTCGAATCATTCAAACAGAATCTCCTCAAGTTTCCTGCGTCGCATTGACATCGCTGTACCTAGTCCATGGTGGAAACGACGGCCTGGTGCAGGCCTGGGATCCCCTTGCCTCCTCGACTCGGCCAATTCGGACCATCAACTCACGATTTTCTACCCGCGCGCGCCGTCGACTTGTTCAAGCGGAGGCATCAATCCACGGTGTTGGCAACAATTACTATGCTACAGGCGCTATCTGCCTTGATCCCGATCCAACCGTTCTACGGGGCATGGTCGCCCTAGGAACGCACCTGCGCTACTGGTCCTACAGCTCCACCGGCGCCGATCAATACAAGTCCAGCAAGCGTCGGCTCCGTCGCGGTCTTAGGGGTATCAACTCCACCCCAGAAGGTCAGCGCTTCAACACCAGCGGCCGCGGTGCACTCAAGGACTACATCGAAGATGAGAAGGTTGAAATGGAACGCCAAAAGATTGCTGACGAGAAGGAACGTGCCCACCTCAGCCACCGCTTTGGCGTCGACCTTCTCGGTCCAGACATCGACGAAGAGCAGCTTCTTGCCTACGCTCAACTTCTCAGCCAAGAGGCTTACTCCAGCGAAGCCCACAGACGCGGTGAAGCAATCGAGAGCTCAGCAGTGAGCACCTCGCCCAGCGACACCATTGGGCCAAACGACAGCTCTGTCGCACCAGATGAGCTTTCCTCTGCATCGTCGCCTTACGAAGACTTCGCCGATGGCGACCTCGATCCCGATATCGCTGAAGCCATACGCCTTAGTCTCCTCGAGGACAACAAGCCCGGCACCGACCTGGACACAGACACTGGTCCCTTCGACCCACCCTCCCCGTCTCTATCAGGCCCAGCCGTCGCAGAAAGCAGTCGCCAACAAGAGATCGATGATCTTGAGTTCGCAATCCAGCTAAGTCTCGCAGAAGCAGAGAGTCAATCGGGCCAGCACCACCCGACAGAGGAATTCCCCACACTGTCCCCGTGGCCGCAGCCATCTCCTGCTGGGAAGGACAAAGGGAAGGGTCGCGCATAGCCTAAGCTTTTCGTTCATGAATGATATGATAGACATATCTATCCATACATTTGTGCTATTTGTTGATATCATTGTTGTTGTTGTTGTGATTGTATGTTATCTATTGCGATGTGCTTACACTGTTAATGCTGTGTTGCGTAATACATTACCTGTGTATGGTATATCCGTTAGTTAGTCGGTTCATAATCAGTTGAAGAGGTTAAGAAATTATTTCAGGCTTGATATAGTGTCACAGATTTTCCTTGGTTCTGGTTATATAAAACCGCAGTATAATCAAGCTTGTACTGCTTGTATACCATCGTATGAGTGGGGAGTACTATCCCATTTTTTTAGCGAGAAATTACTATAAGTTTACTTCAAAGTCTTCGTTAGGGACTAGGACGGAGCATAGTACTAATATATAGTTAGAGGAGAGGAGCTAACGACTCAAGTGATTCAGATACGGCCAAATCACCTGACGTGAAACCGACCATAAGATATGACAAGAAAAATCGCAAGAACAGTTCAGGTAATAGTTCCATTACGGCAAAGCCGTACTACTACAGATACAGTGCAGAAAAGGTATATATACAGCACGTAGATGTATTAAACGTCGTCGAAATCATATCCCGAGTCAAACTGCCCACTGCCACTTGGCTCTATTCAGGGGACCTCACTTTATACACGTGGAACAATCCCTCCATCTTGGGGGCAAAAGGTCATGGTCATAATTGGCAAGAACAGGTTCACCGGGAACAGTATGGGGAAAGAATCTAATCAGAAAAATAGGTGATGCAGAATGGAGAAAGTGGAAGAACAAAAGGCCTAAGGCAAGCAGATCTACAGCATGAAGACGGCGAACAGAGTGGCACCGGTCAACACACCCATGAAGGGGGCAGACAGAGCGCTGCTTCCCGAGGTAGAAGAGTCGGAGCTGGAGGAGCCTGAGCTGGAGCTGGAGCTAGAGCTCGAGGTGCTGGAGCTGCTGTTCGAGCTGCTGGTGAGGGAAGTGGAGTTGCCGGGGGCGTTGGACTCATCGCTGGACAGGACCTTGTACTTGACGCTGGAGATTTTGTTGCCGTTGTAGTCGTAGATGGTCTGGGGGATGGTGGTGGCAGACACGGCAACGAGGCTGCCGACGGTGGCGTTGGTGTAGCCGTTCTTGATCCAGTCAGCGACCTTGGAGGGAACGGTAGGCAGGTCCCAAGAGTTCAGGAAGGTGTTGTTGGTGATCAGAGAAGAGCTGCAGGTCACAGCCTCCTTGGAGGTCTGGGATGAGTTGGAGGACTCAATGCTGCTCATGTCCAACTTGTTGTACTGCTTCTGAAGGTTCTCAAAGTCGACCAACAGGGTGGCAGTGTCGCTGCTGTTGATGGCCACGAGACCGTAGTCGTTGGCTTCTTGGGTCCACTCGTAGACCAGACCACCGGAGAAGACCTGATCCATCTCGCTGCCGTAGAGGGCCTGCACCTCAGTGAAGACACGGGGCTGGACGGCATTGCAACCGTACTCGGAGAAGAAAACGGGCAGGGAGGCGTTCGAGAAGTCCTCAGTCAGGACGTCGTAGCCGGAATCCTTGTAGGAAGATTCGCCACACCAGGAGTACGAGTTGAGGCCAAAGAAGTCGGAGCGAGAGTTAGTCGAGTTCTCCAGGTTGCATTCGAAGTAGTCAAGGGTGTCCATGAGGATGGGGCGCACATCAGCAGCGGAGTAACCCACAGGGATGGAGCGGTTGACGTTGGTGGAGATGTAGTCCTTCATATCACGGACGACAGCCTGAAGAAGAATCAGCAAGAAAGCCCAACCACATTACATGGAAAAGACAATGAACATACACGAACGTAAGCAGGGGCCTCGTAGACACTTTGCTCGTTGATAACCTCGTTACCGGCAAAGAAACCCAGGGTGTTGGGGAAGTTCTTGAAGGCCTCGATGACACCGAAGACCTGCTCGTAGTAGACAGAGTTGTAGGTGCTCGAAGGGTCGGTGCGGTCAAGCGAGCCACCGGACAGAGGGGAGTTCACGTCGAGAATCATGTAGATACCCGCACCGTTGAAGATGGAGGCGCACTTGCTGTGGTCGACATTGGGAGACAGGTTGTACACACGGATAGTGTTGACCTGAACGGGTCCCCACGGTTAGCGGGGACAGCAAGAGAGAGCCAGCAAAGAGGGATTCCTTACACCCAGGTTCTGCATAAGAGCAGCATCGCGCAAGCAGGCATCTGCGTCACTCAGGGGGTCTTCAGTGGCACTGAAGCCAGAAGAACCACCGGGCTGGTAGCTGTTGCGCAAAGCGAGCATACAGTCAGCATCTAGATATTTCTCACGACAAGTAATATCTCTGGTAATGAGGGGGATGCTTACTCGACACCCAGGATCTGGAAGCGATCACCAGTCTTGCTGTTGACAAAGTCCTTGCCCTTGACTTCGATGGGAGTGACAGCATTGGCGGTGGTCGCAAAAGCGCAAGCCGCGGCGAACAGTTGAGTGTAAGTCTATACCAAACCGTCAGTCAGCAATCTACCTATTCATGGTCGCAAACTGCTACTATCACTATAGTACTCACGGGGAACATTTTGCGACGAGTTCAGGAGTGACAGGTATCGACTCTTGACCAGGCTGTGTAGTATATAGAGGAAGTAAGAGAGAGGACCGAGTCTTCCACAGGAAGATCCGAAAAAGCAACGATTGGTATACTAGTATATAAAAAAAAAGAGTGACGTGGGAATAGAAACCCAAAACAAGGCAGCTAAGGAAGGAAAGCGCGCGGGGGCAGAAAGGCTGAACAGGGAAGCACGAGAAGAAGAAAGAAGCCGGAGTGAGACATGCTGATGGCTATAAAAAATCAAGGCAGGAGTCGGTCTTTGGTCCTTTACCACCCCCAAAAGACCCTCAGGGACCAACAGGAGGCAGCCAATCTCCCAGTGATTCGAGATTGATTGAAATGGCCAATGAAGTGGGGGTCGCATAGCACCGCTAATCTCCGCTACTCGCCAATAGCCCCGTTGGTTTCGGTATTATTGGCCTGCACTTGCCCCATCCGCTCGACGGCGTGCCTCAGACCAGCCAATTTCAGGGCCGATCCTGGTTGTTCCCTTGTCCCTCGTCCCTTAGAGACCCTGTTAGTGCTGTTAGTCTGTTAGTACCCTGGCACCCTCACGCTACTCAGAGGGTCGCCCAAGATGAAAAGAGGGTGAGCTGATTACGCATGTCGGTCGGCTTGGATTCAATTCCGTTTCGGAGCTGCTTACTAGTACAATGTATAACCGTGCACACCACAACTAAACTACTTATAAACACATCACCACACAGCTCACCGCTCCCCATACTGCATACATTTATTTCATGTTCGCTTGTTTCACATCAGACAAATCATCGTTTTCGGCTCAAGTGACTCGTGCACTCTCAACTACTACATGTTCGTGCGTTCTAAGAATACATACCCGGGTTTTCATCCCATCGTGAGAAAACCTCGGGAAGAAGTTATTACCGGCCCCAGTGACTCGGATCATTTGCCGTCCGTTCAGGCCCGGTTGAGAATAAGAAAAAGGTGAGGTGAAGAAACAACACAAGTGATGGCGCCGAAAAAAAATTCCAAAAATGCCCGCCAGGTCGGCGGCCAAGACACAATGCACATATACAGGGAAATCTGGAAAGGAAATGATGCGGAAGTACATGGGTAAACGGAGAGGGGAGAAGCGTGACTGGCAGACGGACACCGATTTCCGATGATTCCGTCACTGCCAGAGGACCAGGCCACGGCCCAGCGTGAACTGGAATATTATAGGAGACACACACGTTCAAGGCCAAGGTTCTGATGCGGAGAAAGGGCGGGTGGGTGAACGAAGCAAGAGGGAGAGAAATGGGGAGGCCGGGGTTCAGAAATCATGGTGGAATCGAATTTACTCGACTCCGTGGCTCTCCGGGGCGGCGCTCTCGCCGGTGAACGAGCCGAGCTTCAGGCCGGAGTCCAGAGCGACCATCTCGGCCAGGATCTCGAGCACCTCCTTGGGCACGGTCTTGTCGTAGATGGAGATCAGGTCCTTAGGCTGGGGGTAGACCTTGAGGGCCTTGTAGAAGCACAGGGCAGCCTCAATGGGTTCTGTAATACGATTGGTATATGAATTGCCAATGCATACAAGGTGTAGGGGACGTGTTCGAAGCGCGTCATGTCGGGGGATGCATACCTTCGGCAACAAGAGACTCTCCCTGAGCAACCTGGCTCATGAAGTAGGCCTCCTTCTCCTCCAGGTCCGTGGGGAAACCCTCGTCCTTGGCCTGCTGCACAACCTTCTTGATGACCTCGCGCTGCATGGCACCCTGGGCCTCAGCCTCCTCCTTGACAGCCCTTGCCATGCGGCGGTTGTTCCTCTTGAGAGCTTTGCGGAACTCCGGGTCGGTCTGTCTCTTGTGGTCAAAGTAGACGGCGTAGGCTAGAAAGGGCAATGAAGGCGATCAGCATCTTAGTTGGGAAAACTTCGGTATATGGTTCCGTGGATGGCCGGGCTGGTGTCCTTACCCAGAAGGCCGGTGACGATTGTGCCGGCAGTAGCGGCAACCAAGGTCGACGTCCTCATGATGAAGGTTGAGTGGAATGTGAAAATTGGGAAGAGACGGAAGCGGCGAAAGGGAGAGTCCACCAAGAAAAGGGAACTAGACGGCGTCGAAGGGGGGAGGGTACGGGAGAGGTTTGAGCTGAAGCAAGACAGGCAAACAAGCGGATGTGAAGAGATGACGGCGATTCTTTTGCTGTCCGGATAATTTTGCCGGGATCATTGTTGTTCCGCCTCGGGGTTTCTGTCCCGCTTGAGCTGCCTCCCATACTCCCCTTCTCTCTATACTTCCTCTCTCTCTCGCTACATTCCGCCCCTTCCACGAGATTGCAGGCTCAATCTTTTCTTCTCATAGACTCCTTGCCAGTCATGGAGAGCCGTGGCTTGACCCTTCGCAGCAAGTCGCGCCGGCCCCGCCCCCAGATCAGTGCTCCGAAGCCCATATCCGGCCCTTTGCCGACCAGTAACGGCTGTAAGGGTGCCAGTACTCCAGGCCAGAATACCTCCTCTCCCAGCTCGACATCCCTAGACCGGGCCCCTTCGAAGGGCGCGACCTCTGATCTAGTCAAGCGCCGTTATTCCACTCGTTTTAATCAGGTCCCCGACTTCGATGTCAGCGCTCCGCCGGTGCCGGGCCTGCCCAACGCACCAGCCACGTATGGCGGGCTCAGCCCACCCGAAACGAGTCGCAGACCGTCCACAGAGTCTTCTGGTCCCCCCAAGGTGGACTTGAATGCCCTTCGCGATCCCAGCCTCCCAGTTGACAAGTGTGAGTGACGCCCGACATATGTCCCCGCGGACTCCCCAATCCCACGGGTGCTAACGTGGCACCAATCTACGTCAGACGTTGCCAACCTGCTCGCCAATGCCTCGGAAGAGGAAATCGAGGCATACCAGAAGAGTCTTCGGAAGGTCAAAAACCGAACTTCGACCGATCTGCAGCAGAATGTTTACCAGAACCGCACTCAATTCATCAAGATCAGTAAGGAGGCGGAGAAGCTTAAAGGAGAAATGCGGACCCTCCGCACTCTGATGGCGGAGCTTACCACGGCGCTCGGACAGACCACCATCGGCAACACCCCGAATCCCATGTCCCCCGCCGTTGACGAGTACATGCCGAAACGCAATGCCAACCGCAGTTCTGTGGCTAATCTGGAGAGCATGTGGAACGTCCAGCTCCAGACCCTCTGGAAGACGGTGGAAGGCTCTCAGAAGTTCCTACCGGTGGTTCCCGGTCGACACATCGTGATGGAGACGGGACATTGGGTGGAACTGGACTCTGCAACCTGGAAGCCCAGGCGACCAGTTCACATAGTGCTGCTCAACGACCACCTGCTGATCGCTGCGAAGAAGCGCAAGCGGGTGGACCAGAGCAGCCATCGCGGGCCGGTTCCCACTAAGCTGGTCGCGGAAGAGTGCTGGCCCTTACAAGACGTTGATATGATCGACCTTGGTGCCAATCTCTCCGCGGGAGCCGCTCGAGATGAAACCGAAGACCGGGGAATAGCAAATGCGATCAACGTCCGCGTCGGCGGAAAACCGTTTACCTATCGCCATGACAAGCGCGACAGCTCGGCTAAAGGGGAGCTGCTCGCGACCTTCCGGAAGACCGTCGAGGATCTCCGACGTACGCTTCGCTCCGAGACCGAGGCCGCAAGCAAGTCCACCGAGTCATTTGGCTATTTGGGCGTCCGGCGCCCTTCCCATTCCCCCATGCCGGATCAGTACGACGGCGGCGAAAGCACCCGCGACAAGCCGGAGGTGCGTATCGATGTGGACGGAAAGCAACAGAATCTTCGCTGGGTTGACGGGCAGGTGGACGAGCTGGATATTGACATCGCCCTGCAGCGGTTTGAAGAGGCAGTGGCCAACGTCGAGCGGCTTCGCAAGCTCGCCAAGGGCCTGAAGGGCAACGCGATCGCGCAGGACGTGATCAACACGAAGGTCGACGAGCGTGCAGCCACCCTGGCGGAGGTTATCCTGCGAGCGCTCGTGGATACCCACTCGTTTCCTGTATCCACCAAAACCAGAGTCTCCTGGCTCACGCGATTAGGATTCGAAGATCAAGCCCGGGAAGCTTTTTTGAAAACCCGCTCGGAAATCGTCTCCAAACGGATTCGGTATGTCTCCCTGTACCACTCGCTCAGTAGCACGAATAACTAACATTCTGCAGTGCCTGCGTCTTTGAGGGTGACCTTCCCCTATACATTTTTCAGATCTCCTATGTGTACTTCACGTTGATCAAGAACACAATCAGCATCTACCAACAGTGCTTTCCGCCAGTTATGTCCAGCGCCAGCATCCGCTGGGCAAAACACCACCTCGACGGCTTCAACGCCCTGCTCACCCGCCAACTCAGCAGCGTCCAACGCGGCACGACTGTCTGGCAGAAATGCATTGACATTGTACACGAGCAAGCCGATCAGCTGACCGAGGTGGGCGTTGACTTTACCGATCTCGTCGCAAAGGACTTGGAGACAGGCGAGGAGTTCACCGAACGACCGCAGATGACACGGTCTGAGTCCCTTATTTCCGGATTAGCGGACACTGCAGCGGCAGCTGCAATTATCTAAGTGACGCGTGTATATTGGTTTACTTTTCTGTTCATTACCACTAGCCTCAGGAGGCTACATTTGATGATGTGTGTTCTGCGTTGACTGTTTGTGCACTTTCTTATGCTCAGTCTGTTTGACATGGACCCCACGCAAGTGCTCCAGAATGGCTCTATGTTCGTGTCTTCTATTCTGTATTCTCTAGATGTTATATCCATACCCATGAACGCCGAGCTTAGTCGTGTATATGGCGCTATACCATCGTTCAACGGATCCGTGTATACCCGCACAAATTTCACCTCTTTTGAATGGAAAAACTTGCAATCGACAAGACTGAGAAAGCACTACAAGCAGAGATATGCAGATGCTTGTCCTTTAGAGCTACCTGGATGTTACTGAAGCGGGGAAAGAGACTAAGATCTCCGAAGTCGGCATCGAGCCAATTCCGGGCACGTGTGATCACGTGAAGATAGACTGCTCATTGATGTCTCCCTCGAACGTCGAGCTGGCAACTGAACTGTTCTCTCCACATTCCTTGTTGGTCGTCAGTGGGTGCTATTAACTAGCATGACTCGCTACTTGTCCGAAAACAGTGTGGCTAGTATGCTGGCAGCCTTCTCACAGCGCATGACTAGACCATGATCTGACGTCAGATACCTGAGACGATAGTTCTACACGATGGTATCTTCATTACTTGTCATCAGAAACAACTATTTCATCAAATACTACGGAATGAATGTTTCCTCTCACCAGCAACTGAACGCACAGCTGATAGCAGTTGCTTTCAACAACATGAAGTGGGCATGGCTTGGACGCAGTTCCACCTCGGCCCCAAATCTAGAAGCCGAGCGGCGGGACCCAACAGTTTCGGCTACAAAATCCGCGTGAAACTCCGAACGATAAGCAGCGGACGAAGATTATTGCGTGCAGACTCAACAGCCAAGTGGGTTCATCCCCTCCATTGGCTCCCTTCTGGGGCTCCTTGCTTCTTTTTTTCGTCTGTCGCTTTTTTATCCGATCTAATCTTTCTTCCTCCCTTCAATCAGTATAATCTCTCCCCCGCGCGACATCAATCAATCAACATGGGACTCACTAATGGTCAATCTATACAAGGGTGAGTATCGCTCCCGAACCTTTATCCGCGGCTACTTGTAACCCTAAGTATCGCTCACACCCAACGCGGTTCGCGCAGGCAGGATGCGGAACACCAGGCCCTTCCATTGACGGCCCTTCCCTCTCTGCCCTTGTTCGTGCAGGCGAATGCCTTTGCGCAGGACACTCCCGACAAGATTGCTGTCGTGGACGCCACCAAAGGGCAGGAATTCACCTATGGACAACTGCTAGCCGATGCAGTCGCCCTGAAGAAGGTCATCCTGGAAGAGCTAGGCCTCACTGAAGTTGGAAACCTGGAAGAGCGCCGCATCGCCTTCCTGACGCCCAACGGCTACGACTACGTGGTTACGCAATGGGCCGTCTGGGCCGCGGGGGGTGTCACCGTCCCTCTCTGTATGTCCACACCAACCCTACATTATATCACAAGCCCCAGGGAACCCAAACCCAGCCATTGCGCCTCACTAAACACCCTTCACCAACAACAAACACTAACCTGACCAAACCCAAGGCACCACCCACCCCGTCAAAGAGCTCCTCTACACAATCGGAGACTCCGACCCTTCCCTGATCTTCCTGCACCCAACATTCGCGCACTTCGAGAACCCCCTGAAGGAAAGCATCAGCAAAGCCATCCCCTTCAAACCCCTCACTCCCCACCAGCAAACCACCACCGCAATCACCCTCCCAATCATCAGCCCAATCTCATTCCTGAACCACCGCGCCCTGATGATCTACACCTCCGGCACAACCAGCAACCCAAAGGGCTGCGTAACCACACACAAGAACATCACTTTCCAAGCGCAATGCCTGATCGAAGCGTGGAAATACAACCCCAGTGACCGACTCATCCACGTGCTCCCCCTTCACCACATCCACGGCATCATCAACGGCCTCACAGCCAGTCTCCTCAGCGGCGTCACCGTCGAAATGCACCCGAAATTCGACCCCGCCACGATCTGGACCCGCTGGCGCGAAGGCGGCTCCACCATGTTCATGGCCGTGCCCACCATCTACTCCCGCCTCATCGACTACTTCGAAACCCACCTGCGAGGGACCGAGCACGAAGCCGCCGCCCGCGCCGGCGCCCAGTCCCTCCGTCTTATGGTCAGCGGGTCCGCGGCGCTGCCGACTCCGGTGAAAAGCAAGTTTGCCGCTATCACGGGACAGGTTCTTCTTGAGCGGTTTGGAATGACCGAGATCGGCATGGCGATTAGCTGTGGCTTGGAGACGGAGAAGCGCATTGACGGGAGCGTGGGGTGGCCGTTGCCGGGTGTGCAGGTGCGGTTGACGGATAAGGAGAGTGGGAAGGTGGTTGATGCGGTGGATGAGGATGGGATGATTGAGATTAAGGGTGATAATGTCTTCATTGAGTATTGGCGTAAGCCGGAGGCTACGAAGAAGGAGTTTACTGAGGATGGATGGTTCAAGACTGGGGATGTGGCGAGACGGGATGCGCAGGGCGCGTACTTCATTCAGGGTCGTGCGTCTGTTGACTTGATTAAGTCAGGGGGGTATAAGATCTCGGCGTTGGAGGTGGAGAGGAAGATGCTGGGACTGGATGCTATCCAGGAGGTGGCGGTTGTGGGGTTGGCGGATGAGGAATGGGGACAGCGTGTGGCTGCCGTGGTTAAGCAGCGGCCTGGGGTAAGTTTATCTTGTTTGATATTTCGACTGTTACGGGTTGAGAGAGTGCATGCTGATATGGATATAGACGGAACCCCTGGAACTGGCGAGTCTGCGTGCGCAGCTCAAGCAGGAGATGGCGCCTTACAAGGTGCCGACGGTATTGAAGTTGGTGGAAGCGATTGAACGTAACGCCATGGGCAAAGTGAACAAGAAGACGCTGGTGCAGAAATATTGGCCGGAGCTGGCCTAGCCTAACCTAGAGATAATTATAATACCACATAGAGTCCACTAACAACTGAACGAATGCGTGAATGTCACGGGTGGATCTCTCTTCTTAAAAACCGCGCCGCCGTCTCATACGCTGTGTTCTTCTGTGCCAATCCATTCGCATCAAGTTTCCTATACTTATCCCAAGCATGACCTACGCCAAGCATCTCCATATAAAACACTGTCGGCAATGATGTCGGATCCCGACGCCTAGCATATATCAACCCATTTGCCAACGTCTGAGTGTCCGCGGTCCACGGATCCCCTTCAGCTGTAATGAAAAGTAACCTTCGCGGAAATCTAGTCTCATCCTGCTGGCGAATAGGCGAAAGCTTCGGATCGTCCACGATGTTAGGACGGTTTCCACGCAAATAAGACTGGAGAGTCGACTCCATCACCCATGGCGGCATCACCCCACCCGTCCCCCTTCTCATTTTCTTCCTTATTATCGGATCCATAAGCCGAATCTTGCGCTTCTCTGAGTACGACAAATCCGTGACCGGATAAAACACAACCGCGGTTTCAAAAGTGTCACGGGGGGAACTAATAGCCATAGCCAGGGCCAGATTCCCCCCAGCACCGAATCCACAGATAGCCAAGTGATTGAGATCGTACTCGTCACCACGGCGCCTGAGATATTGCAATACGTCCTGAATGTCCTCGAGCGCCGCAGGATATGGGTACTCCGGGGCGATACGGTAGTCAATGTCGAGGACTATGAAGGGGCTATTTTCACGTGCAACAAGGTGAAGGAATTCATCGTCGATGCCATGAGATTTAACGCAGAAGTTCCTGCCGCTGAGATGGATGATGACTGGAGCTGCAGCGTTGGTGTCCATTCCACAGTACCAATTGACGCGTATTATGCGTCCAGTTTGTCGCGACTCAACTTCTATGGTCCCCTTGGCATGGGCTGGTCCGCCTTCTGGCATGGGGTAGTGCCTTTCGACCAACATGCGGTGTTGGCGAATGCGGAGGTCAGTCCATCTCCACCAGCTAAGCCGATTTGGGGTGGTTTGACTCTGGGTGGTCTGGCCCTGGGTGAGCTGGTTTCGGGCGTTCGGGTTCTGGGGGGCCTGGTTTGCCATGATAAGAGTGATGATGATGATATAAGATATAACAAGTTGTAGCGAATGAACAAGTACGATAAGATGATGGAATCAAGAGAAAGGAATGTTGCGGATGAGAGTAGCAAGAATAGAGAAAGCATCGTTCACTTTATAGTCAGGAGATGATGTCTCTTTAACATGAGAGGAAGGAACTGAGAAGAAGAAGGAAGTCGTGGCTGAAGATGTCTCTTTTGGGAAGTCCTGTTGGCCTTGGGGACAGGATTGCCGAATTAGGAAATTCGTAATATATTCATCCATCCATCTCTCTTTCCTCATATATCCTTCCTCTCTCTCTCGCACACACACACACAAACACTCGCACGTACATACAGGCATTTACACTCACTGTTTCTATCTCGTTCATTCAGTTTGACTACCATGATGCGCTGTACCCCTCACCACCCGGGTCCTACTTGCATGAAGGAATGATACTATTACAGTTTATTTCGTTTGTCGAGGCTGGGGTCGAATCATGCCTCGAAGCGCACTCCCTACACGGATTGATGATCTGTACGACCTACTATCTATCATCTTTCAAGGCTTTGATCTTCTTCCATGTTCTTACTCCATTGCCTTGTCTCTTTACGACCGCACCAGACGAACATATAATTCAACGCTCGACATTACAATCTCATATCCTATTCTTCCAATACCATCATGTCAGAGATGAAAGAAGTCGCAATGATGTATCTCAAGTATGAGCAAGGGGGTTTGGAAGAAGAGGAATTGTATGGAGCAACATTGGGTAATGCAGCAATGTGCGTGGAAAACATGGATGAAAGAGGCGATGACAAGGCAACCTCCAATAGTTATACTGTACCAAATTTCTATTGAACGTACCTGAGAGTCATACCATTATTCTAGCCCTTATACCTCCAAATAACTAGACAGTACCCAGACTACGTCTGAAAAATCCACCTCGGATCCCTATCCCCCAAAAAGTCCCCCTCAGCATCTCCCACATCCCCCATCAACGCCTCCATCCCCTCCCTCTCCCTCACCTCCGCCTTAACCCTATTCTCCCTCCTCAACACCTCCCACAACACCCCCACAACCACCAGGTTCGCCACCAAATACCCCAACGCAAACCCATGACCCAGAAAATACCTCGGACTCGTCTCCGTCCGATACAACTGCGTCCCCAAGACAGCGCCCAAATTCCCAATTGAAATCTGCATCGCATTCGCAATACACCTCTTCGTCTGACCGGAGACATTATTCGCCGGCCACGATAACACGATCGCCACGGCGGGGTAAATCCCCGCTGCAGCGAAGAACGTCCCCAGGTAGGAGACCCCTGGTCTGTGATCAGTTAGTAGAAGGATATAGCCTATGCATGCTAGTGCCGTAGAACCCAGAATGAAGGGCGCGCGGCGGTGCGTGCGCTCCGATAGAATGGCGACGGTTATGGTGAGGACGAAGGCAACGGCGTAGGGCGGGACGGTGAGGAGTTGGGCTTGCGCGGATGTGTAGCCTAGGGCGGAGATGATTGTTGGCTAAAATTTTCATATAGATGTGATTGTTAGTGAGTGCTATGTGTTCCTTGGAAGGGAAAGTAGCTCACCATGAATAAAGATAGGGTGTAGAGTGGAAGCGACATCGTATGAAAGGCCAGTCCGTATAACCAGACTTTGATATCTTTGAAGGCGTCGAAGACGGCACTCCAGGTGAATTGCTCGTCGCGGGTAGAGTCGTTATCGTTCTTCAGACGGAATTGGATGAATTGGCGCTCTTCGGGGGTTAGGAATTCGGCTGTTGAGGGGTAGTTGTAGACCCAGAAGTAGGCGCCGATGGACATGAGGACTGTTAGGAGGCCTTCCTTTAATTTTCCCTTTCTGTTAGTTGGGGTTTGAGGTAGGGGTGTAGGATGGGATATGGGGAATAGTACCAAGATGAATATCCATCTCCAGCCACTGTATCCGCCTACGCCGTTCATGTGGGCTATTCCCTGTATTTATTCCTTAGCTTGGCTGAAACAGAAAAGGATGGGGTACAAACCCATGCTAGAATCCCTCCAAAAGCACCCGCTAAAGAAGCAGCACTGAAGAATAGAGCTACGCGGTAGTGTTGCTCGTTGCGTTTATACCACATCGACAGGTAGAAGACCACGCCGGGGAAGAGGCCGCTTTCTGCTATGCCGAGGGCTGTTTCATTACTTTCTTAGCATTGTGCATGTTATGATACGGTAGGTTTAGCGGGGAAGGGGGGGATGTGTGTACCAGTTCGTGAAGTAAGATATCCCGCATAGTTCTGCACCACTCCCAGAAGCGTCGCCACAACACCCCAGACTAATGTTAATGAGGGGAGCCAGATCCGGGGTGTGGTTTTCTTCAAGATGATGTTGCAGGGTACTTCGAAGAGGACGTAGCCGATGAAGTAGAGGGTTAGGCCGGTGAGGTATTGGTCTCCTGCTGTTTTTTTGGTTAGGGCTTATTTGTTATGTGATGTGATATGGTAGGGGTGGGTGGTACATACACATGTGGATCTCAGTGGCCATGCCTTCGAGTCGGGCGTTTCCCACTATAGGATTGACATTAGATTTTGGGGACTTTTATCGGGTGCAAAGCAGGGGGAAAGGCGTGTTACCATTGCTGCGATCGAGGAACGATAAGAGATATAGGATAGTTAGTGGTGGGAGGAGACGAAAGTCTAGTTTGCGAAGGAGAGCTTTCTCGTTGATGTTGGTAAGGCTGCTTGTGCTGGGGGAGGCAGCCTTTTCGTCGGCCTCTATTGTCTTTTCGGGTGTGGATGCCATGTTGCTTCATAACAGGGGTATGAGTCCCCGACTTTGATACTGAATTAGGGTTGCACGTCGATGTAACTTCAAATTCGAAGACGAGACGGGACTATATAAGAACTCTGAAGCCGCCTTCCACGTGAGACAGACATCATGGCGGCCGCGTTGAAAGGCATTGTCAGGGTCCAGAAGGGTTAATCCTTGCCCGCTATGGCATATTCGCATCCACGAGCCGATGCGCAATCTGGAGTGGTGATGGCGAGATTGGTGGAGTAATCTGAGGACCTGCGAATTTCCTGTTGCAGTTAGTTTTACCGCTTTCGGCTTAGTCGCCTGATACAATGTACTGTCATCATTGCCCGTTCACCTTCTCCGAGTATATAAGATCCTCTTACCCTCTGGCTCTCCTACTTCATCCACTTTCTTTTTTTTCCTTTAATCCCCCCCCCCCCCCCCCCATATTCTGCACTTATTTACCTGATTGCGGCCCCCTCGTCTCACCTGCTCTGAAGAATGAAAATTCTTGCTGTCTTGTTCACTACCCAACTCCCTTTTCTTTTCTCCTTGTCAGAAATTGCGGTTGTGCCCTTGTTTTCTGTTGTCTCTACTTCCAGAATCCTGGAAAGGCATCCCTTTAGCTCTGACTAGCTGTTCAGGTGAATCAGACTTTCTTCCTTCTGTTTTGCCGCCTTTTGTCTAGTAGTTGTATGTATTATTTTCCTGCCCTTCAGCCTATACTGTTAGAAAATGCGTCGCTTGTTTATACGGGATCTTATTTTGTTTATTAGTTTCTAGAGATATCCTAACTACTATCCGCGCTTCCCTGATTCAAGGACCGAAGAGACTGATGTCTGAACAGGCTGCAAGACTGATTATATATTACAGTTTATACTTGTTCCTCCTACTCTTCACTCTTACACTGTTTTACTTGTTTCCTGCAGTTGTCCATCCCTGCGCCTCTGTCCTCGCCCTAGTTTATGTTGATACCGAGTGTCCTGCTATGCGATTGGATTACTTAGAATACAGATGAAATTGTGTTTCGGAGGACCATGTCCAATGGCATAAATGTTTTATTCATGACTCTGGCCGGCTATCCGGCACTGTCACTGTTACTATTATTAAAAAAATACCTAAACAGACTGCTCTTCAGATATTTTACTTTAAGTCTGCAGCTGGGGAGTCAATATTTCTAAAGATTATTCTATATAACCACATAACAGCTAATCGAAAAGGAAAATTCTTTCTTGAACTTTAACACAACACAAATGGAGTATTAACGATGGGAGAACTGGACGGGAAAGCTGTACAGGGACAAATCCATTTTGCGTATATAGGATAATTGTAACAATCTTGAGGAGGCTCACGCAAGAGGATATGGCCATTTAATATTATTTAACATTATTATCCGAAGCCATGATCAGGTGGATCCCAGTAAATTACTTATTTACTGGATATCTAGTCTTCAGTATGTTCCTTTAGCATAGTACTTTGACAATAACTTATAACAGAGTAAGACAGCTGAATATACACAGTCCGATTAGATCAACTCTTATAATGGGACAACTGGAAGCCTTACGTACAAGAAGTTAAGTACTATGAATATTCCAGAAATGAATGGACTGTCACACTTGTCTGTCTCTTTGATCGAAGCTGTGTTCCCAAGTCATTCACACTTAGGGATAATTTATACAGGAATTATAGACCGGTTATCCCAAACCACCTGCTTGAAGAAGCATTGAATATCTATCTTAAGGGTCAGTAAAAGAAATAGTAAAGTGAAAGTACTAACTCACCTGGAGTTACTGAAGATGCTCAAGATCAGGAGATTAGAAAACAATCACAGACAAAAGACCTTTCCGAGCACCCATTATCTCAAAGACATTTAAGGCAGTGAGCACGAGTTGGAAATTCTAGGAAATATTAAAAGTAGAACGGAATCAATAATCTTTTTATTAATTCACAACTCGTCTATTTAATACTCCATTACTAGAAGCAGATTCCATACTTCTTAATCAGAAAAGTCTCTAATGACTACAGCGACACTATTATATTTAGATTAGCAGGCAAGGATACAGGGTTACTAGCTGATTATTTAGTAATATTTAAAAATCTTTTTGAAAGCGGCGCATCACCCACTATATTTTTAAATTACCAGCATGAAGGCAGTTGGGAGACGAGCCGCTACTATCAACAAATAAGATTTAAGTTACTGGATTAAATTTCTACTAACTGCTTGTGACAGACCCACTGACCACTCCTGGAATGGGATTAGAAAGGGTGGAAATATGGCTTTTAGACTGTCTTGGTTCTACTTATACAGTCAAGTGACCTTACTCATTTATCCTGACTCGATGAGTGGATCTTTTATAGAGGTATATAGAATGCCTGATTATATTTACTAACTGTTGGTACCGTTTAATTTGCTTAGGAATCTTTCAGAAATGCGAGTACTACAAGCAATTTGCGTGCCAGACTTATAAGGAATATGTATTCTACAGAAATAGTGATTCTACTCCTGGATTTGATTATACTATAAAGACATATTCTTTTCAGAAAGGACTTGTCAGATGGGCAAGTACTGCTTATAAGCTTGAAGGAACTAATATCTCTGAAATTCTTCTCTCTGTTCCTGGTCATCTCTAGATGGCTGATGAGGATTCTACTAGCATAATTAATATTCTGTTATCATGTTCTACTTGCTTTTCACTAACTTCGAATATGGGCCCTTACTATTGTTTGCTTCATGAACATATAATGCATTCCAATAGTAATTTTAATTATATAATAACAAACCAGCATCTTCTTGACAAGTTTCTATATTATACTGGAATTCAAGAAATTGCTATACCTTCCATCCATCTACTACATGTAAAGGAGGCTAATTATTATAATAAATCTAGCTCTGGTATACTCCTGCTATTCAGCAGCACCTATTTATTGTTTTACAAGAGTATTTTAATGGCAGGATTCACAGTACTTACAGCAAAGTATCTACTCCGGAGGAGCGGCCTATCTTATTCCAGGCCGCATTTAAATATGGAATATACTTGCTGACAGACTTTGGTGTCAGCTAAGATATTACTTTGGAGCTTGGATAGATATATTCCACGGCGGAGAGTGGCTTTTGACTTATACGGGCTGTCAGCTATTATCTGTACCAATCTTATGGCCAGTCCCTTGTCACAAGGGGAGAGAATGTATATTGGCTTATTAAAGAAGCTCTCTGTTTTAGTTCATGAATAATGAATGAGCTTGAGGATACTATTAGTAATATTCTTAATAGATATGTAAGATCTTCTCGCCTGTTTACCGTGAAGTATACAGAAGATTAGGATATATGAGGTTTACTGTGCAAGGAAGAAAAAGAAGTCTTTAAAATATTATATTTTTATCTCCTGTTATACCAAAAGGCCACATTGTCAAACTTAATCTACAGGAAAGACTGTCCTATGTATCATGTTTACATGGAAGAGATTAATGAACAGCTTGTTCTTACATGCTTATCAGATTTATCAATAAATTTTATCTTTTTCGCGCTTTTGCACCATGTGGCCCTTTGATATACATGTTGTATAGCAAGGCCCGAAACTGTACTTGCTCTTCTGGATAGGTGGACTCATTCAATTCAACCAGGTAATTTATATAAGTATATTCTCCTGGTCTTATACCATGGCTCATCCTCACTTGCTATGGAGTTACTGGGTCGTGGCACGATTAATATCACAAGTTTATCACCAGCATCTAACCTACTTTTTCTGCTTGAAAATATACCGCCAGAAAGCGTGAGCCCTCTCGTCAAATTTCTGGTTGGCATGGGCCTCGACGTGAATCAGAAAGCACACCCCTTGGCAGTCAAGCAGAACGCTCTTTACCCTACTTTATTCACGACTAACTCTACCTTCGGTAAGATAGCTCTTAAACTCCCAAAATTACAAACAAGAGTCCAAGTAAGTTTAGTATTAATATACACAAAATAGCGAACGGCGACCCTTTAACACATGTAGATCTCAAGCTAAAAGTATGGATCCGCGCTCAATGGCTTCATTTCCATGATGAGATTACTGGGAATTCAATCACGCCTTTACGTTGGGCAATTGCTCAGGATAAACCGGCCTTGGTCCAGGCCTTGTTAGAGACTGGAGCTGAGTTTCCCAAAATCCCGGATAAGAATACAGCGAAACAAACCCAGCTAGCAAACTCATGGTCTTCAGAGCTTTGCAACGTCTTTGTACTCGACCAACCGTGCTATAACATCAGGATTGTCCGAGCCTTCTTGGATCGACATGGCTCGCAACAAGGCCAAGCCCCATTCGCCGAGACGCCCTTAGGTTTGATAGTGATGGAACCCAATGGGCCCCCGCAGCAGATTAGGATGGTCAACTATGGCCACCCTGATACACTCTCATCCCTTCTTTCTTTGCTGCGCCAATACCAGCCTCTTGATGACCCACTACTTTTCTGGGCGGCTGTAGTGAACAACCACAAGGACATAGTGCGCTATCTAGTCAGGAACGGCGTGCAACTTAATATTATCCAATTCCTCCTTAGGAGCGGTGCCGATGCCAGAGCCACTACCTCACAGCAAGGACTTTCAACAATACACATGCTCTTCTGGACAGCCAAGCCTCAAAAGACTGAATCTATGCAGCCAAGCCTCAAAAGACTGAAGTTATGATTTTCAATATTCTATTACACCAACTTGGCAATACTATCATACCCTATTACCATACACACCCTTCGGGTCTTGTGGTTAGCCCGCTACACCTGGCTGTTATTACTCGCCGCACCAATGCCGTGCACAACTTACTCAAAAATGGGGCAGACCCCCTTTCTATCATTTTCAAAGATATAAAATTACCTCCATTAAAAGCATCTTTCAGTACCTGGAGAATACAGCTTCGCAACTTACAAGATGGCTTTAGGATATCACATCCCTTGAAATTTGACAAAGCCCGACCCACAATTCCCCTGAAAGGATGCACCGCCGTCAGTATTATCATTATATAGGAAAATCTGTTCTCCTAGTCGGCGACAAAAATCTTACTTAAGATACTTCTACCATTCAATGAGCTTGCGCCGCTATTTGAGATGACACTATTCCACTACCATCCAGAAAAAGAAATCACTATCCTGCATCTCCTCGCCACAAGCAAGTTATGGTCACAATCTCGGCTGTAGGAGCGCGTAGTCGATTATGCCAAAAACTTAGGCTGCTCTGACGTTAGGAAGGCCGATACAGACGGTGACACGCCGTTACATTACGCCTGTGTCGCTTTCGGTGGGCACAACGAGGAGAAAATTCCGCTTGATATGTTCACAGACAGCGCAATCGCGAATGGAAACACCAAGCAAAAGAACAACCTCGGCTTAACTCCACTGGAAGCTAGATTTTGGAGCTTCGTTGATGGACATCTAAATTGCCAAGGCACATCAGATGTTCTTTGTATTGATTTTTTGACCTCGGAGAGCATGGAGAGATACACCGCGCCGCCGCCCGCTGAGAACTCTGTCATCAAGCAGCGCCTTATGGGTGAGCATGCAGAGCAAGCCTGGTGGGAGTTGGAGAAAACCGCAGAAGTACTATGGAAATGGGATGCCAAAAAACGGTCAATGTTGCAGTCAATGTACGGCAACATTTGCGGTGTGAAGTTCTCTCCCACTCGGAACACATTCTTTACCGGTCTGCGCACAGAGTTGAAAGTAGATATGGAACCCTCCCGACGGATTCTAGATATAAGGGACTAGGTAGATTTAACAATTGACATTATCTTTGGCAAACACGTAGCATTGTCATAGTCTGACTTGGGTTATATATCAGCAGTAAGCCCATCCAAGCCAGCACCCTATGATCAGAGATAGAGAGGGTGCTCGGCTAGCTATATCTATTATCCCATAGCTGAAAGCAGAACCGGGGCGTTCCTTAAGTAAGACTGAGGCTCGATGTTAAGTGGCTTCAGGATAGTAAACCATGGGACAGATTCAAAGTGATATTCGCCAGCAAGTAGACAATGGTTATGGCTGTGGTGGCTCGTTGAGATGTCTGTGTTCGATTGCTCGTAAACTGATATTTAATCCTTCTAACCCCATGTTCCCACTGGGTAACCAGTGGGCTTCTAACTTAAGGGACCTCGTGCAATCTACCTGACTGCATGGCAGTATGGGCAGAAATTGCCCGACTACTACTAGGCTTCCGCATAACCCAATTTGGTCCGAACGTCTTGACCCAAAAGGCAACCCGGGCTGGGTTGGGTCCATGTTGGGTCCGGCTTAGGTTGGGTTGTGCGGAAGCCTACCCAATACCTAGAATATACTCACTTTTCCCTATCCCATGACTCAGAACTCGGTCTGCAATCCGATACTGATCAAGAAGTCTCATTAAGACACTACTCCGATAAGCGCCTGTATGGCTTAAGGTTTCTCTATAGAGTGACTCAAATCCAAGAAGAATCTCATAATATTCCCTATCACTGTCGATAAAATAGCAAGTCACAGCCATAAATGCCTGCTGGAATAGTGATATCCAGCAATCAAGAGCAACTTACAATTTTGCATTAGAAAGGAGTCAAGGAGTGTCTTTAGAAGTGCTTTCTACTTATCTTGAGCAGCGTCTCTAAGTCTCTTTCAAATCGTTCTTTGCGGTTAGGAAAGATAGAGGATTCTGAGAGAAGCGGGCATAGTCGATAACCTCTTAGAATTCATTCAGAATGTTGATCAAAAATAGAAAAACAAACAGTTTTTCCCAGAAGAAATGCCACAACATTACACAGGGTCGCCCGCTTCGCCGACTGGATCAGTCATATCAGGAAAGACGACAATACGACGGATGCTGGGTACAAGTACTCTTGTCTGTGCTTCGCCGTGCCGCTGATGTTCTTGGATATCGGGTTGATGATTTATTTCCATGGGCAGCAGTATTATTCAGCCGAGTTCAGCCTTGCGCAGTCATATCAAATGTAAATAGATGCTATGATAGCACACTAGTCTTAACGGGGCAAATTGTGCGAATCCCGTGCATGGCCTTGTCTGGCCCAATCGGGATGCGTCGGATCAACTATATCATTGCTTATTTCCCCAGCGAGGTCGCATTACCACTACTGCCGTGTATCCCCTACGGTCGCTAATATCGAAGTATTATGCACCGCCTCAGGTAATAACAAGAGAGACCCCCGTGGCTGTCTCTGAGCCGCATTCCAAAACTTCCACTCCACCTGGCTCAGGAGATTGGCTATACCGAAGCCGCTCGCTGCAATGAACGGATAGACTGCTTGGCACCACAGGAATTCAGCCTGGTTTCCGCAGTCAATATAGCATTTGCATGCCTGGGACAGTGCCATGAGGAGGGCTTGCCCGGCTGACATTTGATTTTTAGGTTGTATGCAATATGCTACAGAGCGGCAGATTTCTCTGGTATAGAACAGCATGCAGCTCGGATCGGGGTCTCGCAACAGGTGCGTCTCGATTTGGTAAATCACGCGGCGGATGAGCAGCGAAGCGACCCAATACAGGAGGTATATCTTGGCTGTTTCAAGATTTCTGAATATATACGGAGCAAGATCTGGGTCCAAAGGGAGCATGCTGGGCTCCTGACTGAATACCCACCTGCTACATGGAGTGGGTTTGCCGTCCAGCCTGTGCGAGGACGTATGCAGCCAGTCTACCTGCAGACGCTCCTCGAGCTCAAAGCAGCGCTGCAGTAGTGCTTGGCACTGACATGGGGGTTCCCGATTGTGATGCGGTCGCCCGATGAGTTTGCATAGATCTCTGCGTAAAACAATGCATGCGGCAATCACTCCGAATAACCCGTCCGCCGGGCTGTCTGTCCGTCCAAGACTGAGACATTCCCCGTCCAGTGCTATACTGTATGGGGTATTGAGGACAAACATTGCCTATATGACTGTCAGTAATCTATTGTCGGATTCGAAATAAACTTACTGCCGCCCATTTATGTCTCCAGATGATGGCGTTGATAAGAGTTTTATCATCGTATCGGGTACAGTCCTGTCGCTTCAGAATCGCTGTGGCGCCCTGTATGTGGGCAAAGCAATCACGCAAGACTGTCTCGCTATTCTGCATAGTCTACGTCTTGTCAGAAATAGGACCCCATTGGCATGGAACGACCATACCTCGTAAGTCTGGAATACAATGGCCGAGTAGAGAGTGGCAGCCGTAGGCGGGTGATTGCGTTGCAAGATCCGTAGCATCGTATGCAGAGCACTATTGTAGATCTCCAAGCCATGATGTGCTAACTGATTATCCCTTTTCTTCGTCCCCAGAAACACCGAGGCCAAGCCGATGACCGATCGATCTAGCAGTTCTGATTGGCCGGCTAAGGTTGGGAAGCGCGCCATCAACAAGTACCAGGTGTCGTCCCTGCCATTCAGGGACGGGTTGGGGGCGAAGAAGGTGTGCATGAAGTTGGCAAATAGCTGTGTGCGAGCCTCGGCACTCATATTGAAGCGAGCAGGCAAAGCCAGGGGCTTGAGCTGTCCAACCAGCTGGGGGACTGGGCGCGTGGTTTCTCCATTGCGCGCGTGTCGGGATACAAGAGTGTGGTGAATAAAGATCCGATCGTGATAACCAGGGCAAGGCGCCTTCCCTCTTTTGATGCAATTGTCGCATTCGGGCTTTCTTAGATCACACTTCCGGGCTTAGCCACCGAACAGTAGTCCGATTGCAGATTTCTGGACTGACCTTTATCTTACGCTTCTTGCAGGCTGCGCAGCCGAGCGCTGTGAAGGGGATGCCGCCCATCCTGAGAACAGAATATCTGGTGTACTCATTGCTGGGGAGGATGAGGAGCCTCGTGAATGCCCGGAGATAAGGCTATCGGGGGATCCTGATCCTGAAGTGGCTTATTGGCTGGCTGCTTTCACGTGCAGCCTTCAGCCTCAGTCAATTTGACACGTCACTGGGGTACATCTCAGGCGTAAGCATAGACTAGTAGTTACTTGTACTGTCTACGTGATTGCTGTACTCCGTATTACCGAATGATTGATTGGATCTTCGGAATTGTGATTTCACTGCCTCCCTGCTACACTGTCCGGCCTCATGAACCCTACTTAATAAGGTGTTGGCGCACGGCCCCCGCAGGAGCTCCAGGTCGATGCCTAGCTTTTTATAAATTTCTACTTTCTCTTCAAAAATGAGATAGTCTATTACTTCTAGATTCTTATCTCAGTATACCTGCTAATTTCATGTCAGTCTGTGGCTGTATATGCAGTCAAGAAAGATAGTACTACAGATAGTAATATTATATCTTATAACTAATCTTGTATAGATTCTATGGATATCAAGATTTTCTAATTATATTAATAAACATGAATAAGATGAATATACTCACACTAATTATTATACACTCACCCTAGCTCACCCTAGTCTTAGAATAATAAAGCAGTATTTATCTTTAGCTCATGCAAGCTGCATCCACCCAGGCATTAGCCGCGCTTTAAGCCACACGCCGGGAGATTAGTAGTTGGGTGGGTGACCACCAGCAAATCCCTTCTGTTGTATATAATTTGCCTCCAGAAGATATTGATTCACAGATATCTGTTAGATAGTTCGTCTAGTTCCAAAACACCCATGGATCCCATACGCGACGTTCGGCGGTCACCACACCAGCGCAGGAATGTGTCCACCAAGCTTCGGAACGCTGTCCATCGTTCGGCAGCGGTAAGTTACCGCAAGTTTGTTCTGACAGAAGGATATGTCCCGACAGATACAAATCACAAAACCATCCTTATTTCCTCACCGCTGAAAGTCTCCTCAGTCACCCGGGCAATCATTCCAATTCTCATACGTACAGTATGCACTGCCCAGAGGCCGCTCTCCCTATGTTTAGCTTACTGGAAATAGTGCGAAGTGGAGGGGGATAGCTAATCAATGGATCTACTCTGTTGCATTATGATCTCAAGACTAATGTCTATGGCATCTCCAACAAGGCATCTGTGATATTCATAGTTTCAATTTTCTTCAGGAACGGAAACCATTGGACAAAATTTTTCGCTCTTTCTAGGCAGTCCCGCATGTTATCACCAGCAGAATTTTGGGTATCACTATCAACACATCGTGGCTCATGATTGGTGCGGATAATTTTTATTTTATTCTAGACCTCAGCTCCATTACAACAGCTCAAGTTACTCCTACCTCATCATCTGGGAAGCAGAAACAAGCACATAGATGGAATTGTCATGCCAACCCAACAACTCTAATAAAGAGACCTTAGATGTTAACCTTGAGCTCTGATTCCCAACCACAAGATGATGAAGTCCAGACCTGTCTCTCTAGCAAGGCTTGCCTCATAATAGGATCGGAACTCAGTGATGAAACTACTATCGGTAAGGACATAAATGCTAATCAACAGGCTCACCTAGAAGACAGGTTGTCAGCTGAGACAATCCTCCCAGGCCGTCAGCCCAAGAGAAGTTGAAAATTCTCCAAGGCCGATTCATCATTATAACAAGCTTATATATGGCGTCAATTGTCAAGCTGTACAAGGTGTTCTATATTGTTTCTGCTATTCAAGGAAATCCAACAGTGGCGCATTGTATGTAGAGGAGAGGGATATATCAGATGACTGAGATATGATCAAGCTATGTATGGCAATTTCCAGTTCCTATACAAAACAAATGGGTAATCGCCCCCCGCCGCCCTTCCCTGAGAATGCTCCCACAGATCCGTTCTTTAATGCAGTTGGAACAAGCCACATAAACTGCAGTAAGCCAGTTGGTCATTATTACCCCAGGCCTTACTAACTCTGGATCTCAAGCATAGTTCTTGAAATGACTTCCCAAGCCCGTCTACCCCTTCTAGCTCCCAGTCTCAGGACCCCTCCACCACTGGCAATCTACAAGGAGCGTTTACTGTTGAAATTCACAATTATGATGCCCCGCCCTCTTTATCCCGCCCACTGAGATGGTCAGTTGCCTGGAATGTCTGACGCGGATTGCCAGTGGACGACGCCCAGCCGAGATTTGTAGCTTCAGCTACTGTGCGGTTGAGCGAAACCAGCTTTCTGCTCCATCTCATGCTCCTGTTTGATCTTCTCGATTTTCCAAAATTTATAGAAAATGGCGAGAGACAAAGAGATAGTTGTTGATGGGGCAGTAATAATCACAGTCAAAAGAGACATGATGGACTATTTACCGCCCTTGGCTGTGTATATATTGATCTTTGTTGTAAGGAGTCTAGCACCTGTATTAAGTATGGTTGGTCTATTCCAAAGTTAATCAATTATAATCAGCTCTTTCCTGTTTGTCTTATATAAAAAGATGATTGATAAGCCACAGATAATTATGCTTCTATCAGAAGAAGAGAAATACTATAATGCCGACTCTGACTATTAACAGGGAGCATGCTATACCAACTAGCAGCAGATTCTGAATAGTGTTAAAGACAACTTTTTCTGTATTATTACTACTTAGTCCTTGCTGGATTTTATTAGATCCCTGAAGGCTTGTAAAGATCACGGAAATTACAAGATAACCGGCTAGTAAGCTCCATTCTATAAAGCTAGAAAAGAAATTATACTTCTAAGGAATATTATTAAGCTCCTGAAGCATGTGCTCGTATTGTATATTAATAATAAGTGTTATTTATTACTGTCTAATAATTGGAACTTTATCATCTCCATCGGAGCTGCTCGGCTCGGTGATGATTACAGCAGAGCTCACGTTGCTATGAGGTAGTGGTGTTGGTATAGTAATAAACAAAGAATAGAGAACCCACTAGTCTTGAGAAAACAAAGAAAAATAGATATATATTATAACCCTTCTGTATCTTTACCTAGTATACAATACATCTAGCCAGGTCTGTAATATTACATCTTGGAAGCTAGCCGTCACAGTCAATATTCTTAATGCTGATTATACCATGTGTTAATAAATACTAAGTTTCTTTATACTACTATTCTCAGTACTAGACTTGCTTAGTATGAAGTGTTATGCAGAAGTAACCTTCATTCTTACTAATGATACTTTAAAGTTAGATTTGTCCAGCATAGACTGGAAGTACAAGGATACAAGGTATGGAAAATGGAATGAATGGAAAATAGATGGCATCGAATAATCATCATAATATTGTTGCGAGACATGATCAACATTTCTCGGTGGTATCTTGTTAGTAGTCGTCAGGGGTATCTCTTGTTGTCGTTGTTGTTGTCCATCCCACCCAAAATGTCCCGAAGATTTCAACGCCAGTCCAGTATTCCAAAAATCCCAAAGTCCGTCCATCCAAACCCAATGATAAAAGAAATGAAACAAGGGAAAGAAAAAAGGTAAAAGAAAAGAAAACGCCAAACACAACAGAAAACACCACACACACAAAACACACACATAACGAACACGACACACACAACAAACACAACACACAGAACACACACATAACACACACACATCACACACAATACATAATACACACACCACATACATCACACATAACGGGATGATTGTGTTCATGGAAGGAAATTCATCTAATCTATCATGCGGGCATTCTAATCGCCTCGCAGCCTACGCGGTATATGTATAACACTGCTTAACTTTTCGAAAAAACACCAGCCAATGCGGAAAAAAAGGAAGAAAAGCAACACGCAACGTAAATCACACATGATGCTTGGAGGTCGCCATTCAGACCTGTGAAACAACGCCACAGAAATCCTCGGGTTCCCTCACGTCGTAGAACTTGTCAATACCCCGGGATGACCTAAGGCGCCATAATCAACGCAAGCAGAGCCATACGGCAGTAGAGACCATATCTCATCTGTAATCCAACATCAGCATCATGTTCAGTCAATGGGGCGGGGGAGAAACTAACCTGGCGGAAGTAGGCCGCCCGCTGGTCGAAGTCAACTTCCTCCGAGATCTCCGCGTTACGGGGCAGAGGGTGCATCACGACCATGTGGCTCTTGGCGTGCTTCAGAAGAGCATTGTCAATGACGAAGCTGTTCTTCAGACGCTCGTACTGAGCCAGATCGCTGAAGCGCTCCTTCTGCACACGGGTAGAGTACAGAACATCGGAGCGGGCAACGATCTCAGGAGTCAGCTCCTCAGACTCCACAACAAGCTGGCCAGAGGCAATGACTTGCTGGCGGACATCCTCAGGCAGGGAAAGATCCTTGGGCGCAACCAGCTGCACGCGAACATCGTAGAACTGGAGCAGCTTCAGCAGCGAGTGCACAGTGCGGCCGTAACGCAAGTCACCAGTGAAGGTGATGGTCAGGCCGGTAACGGTGCCGAGCTCCTCACGGATGGTGAAGAGGTCAAGGAACGCTTGGGTGGGGTGCTCAACGCTGCCGTTGCCACCGTTGAGGATGGGGACAGGAGAGAACTTAGCCGCGGTCTCGGCACTGCTGGGATCGGGGTGACGCAGAACAACGGCATCTCCGTAGCAGCCGAGGGTGCGGACGGTATCCTGCAGGGTCTCACCCTTCTTGGTCGAGGAGTGCTCGGTGGAGATGGCAATGGTGCGGCCTCCCAGACGCTGCATGGCAGCATCGAAAGAAGCGGACGTCCGGGTGGAAGGCTCATAGAAGAGAGTGCACAGAACACGGCCCTTCAGGATATCAAGCACACCCTGGCGCTGAACTCCCAGGCGCATCTCCTGAGCCACAGTGAAGAGCAGGTGCAGATCAGCCCGAGTGAACTGGTTAACGGACAGCACGTGCTTCTGTCTGAAGGTGGACCGAGAGAGCATCTCAAGGAGAGAGGAAGACACCTGGGGAACGGGGGTATACAGAGGAGGTCCAAGCTCTCCCACAGCAGGGGCCTGCTCAGCAAG